TTTTTTTTCTGATGTAGGATCTTGGACTTGCTCAGAGTGCAGCCACATCAACCCAGACTCCAACGCCAATGGGCTCATTGGCTCATCAGATCTACAGAATAATGTGTAACAAGGGATATGCCAAGCTGGACTTCTCATCTGTGTTTCAGTACCTCAAGGAAAATAATAATCATTAACTTAAATTCTGAATTTTTTTTGTGTATGTGTGTTTATTATCCTAATGCTTATGTCTCAACCCATTCACTTGCGTAGTCTTATGTGGCAATCTGTCTTTAAGTCATGTACGTGTGTGGTCCACGATGTTATGTTGTGATCATTTGATTGACCTTTTTGGCACTACTTTCACTTGGCACTATTAAGTCTTTTGTATTAAAAAAAACCCCAAAGCTTACATTTTCTACGCTGAATAATATTTCTGGCTCTCTGGAGAATGGATGGAATGAAAAAAATTAGGTGGTACCTTTACCATAACTTTCACCTTTCACATGCCACCTTTGTTTGCTTTCTGCATTGCTTCTTCTTTCTCTTTTGCAACTTTCCTTTCGTTTCTGAAGCCACTTTTCTCCACATGTTCTAAGAATTAATACGGTACCTGTCTAGTTAAGATTATAATGACTTCTTTCATTTTGCAACTCACTGATAGAATTTCGTTAAAGTTTTGCTCTGAAATTTGGGTCACTTAGTGTGAGCTAGTTTTTTTGAAGATTGGAACCCAGCAAAAATAAAAGGCATCTGTTTAATGTAGTGACCGTTTTCAGGATCAGGCAGCGTAAATTGTTCACTGCTCTGCTTGTAGTACTGATGCCCTTTTTATTGGCTAGGGAATAATGTTAAACCCTGTCTGCCTGGTGCAGATGGAAATCAACCTTATTTCCAGGTTGCAAATTTTAAGTAAAATAAATTAACAGTTTTGTTTTACTAGCTTGTATGACTGGTATTAAGGGGAAGTATGTAAAGGGTGTGTCCGTCCCCTTCTTGCATGCCTTTATTCCCCCCTTTAAATGCTGTAGTAGTGTATGCAGATACGTTCTTAGTATGTCAACTTAGTGGTTTCCCCTAATGCAAATAAGAGACCAAAGCATACAACAAAACCATGAAGCAGTTTTCCATCTGAATAATTCGTCTTAATGGATAAAATAGTGTACCCAGATGTAAAGATGCACTTAAATATTTTGTGTATGAATTTTTTAAGTACAAATTAAAGTAAAGAAGGAGGGCAGAGGAGTTCTTATTATCAGAATTAATGGTATTTCTAACATTTGTTAGATCATGGGTCAACTAAACTATTATTTATACTGTAAAACTAGGTGTATAATTGGAATTGGTCAACAAGGGAATGCAAATAAATAAACTTAACAGTTTACATTTAATTTGTGCAAATATGAATGCTTTGGTTCTGCCAAGGTTAATTTTCACTCTAAGCTATCTGAAACGGATTAAGGTATTATTTGTCTATAAGCTAATTTTGAAATATTCCCAGGCTGGTTATCAAAGTGACATTAACAAATCCAGCATAATTTCCGATGTTAATACTAAACCCAGATGTTTAAACAGGATGTGGAACATTAAGATTTTATCTTTTGTTCTCACACCTGATCAGCTTATTGTACTTTTATAGTACTTGATTTTGGCTTCCAACTTTTAACATAATCTCTTTATTGGCAGCTGAAAACTACATGTATGTATATTTGTCTAATCTTGGGTTTTACTTCATCATGGACGATAGTCTATGAAGGGGTAGCAGCACCATTCCATCTTTGGTAGTGTGAGCACAACAAGTTCATTCATATTTTGTGGGTAACGATAAGTATAAATTAATTAATTTGTGACAGTGTTTCAGTAAATAGCAAGGAACAACCACACCAATTTGGCAATAGAAAAATACTGCATACCTGTAAATAGTAAAATTAGAATCTTGGGCGCAGATTGTCAAACTTATCTTTTAATCAACTTCTAATTTTTTCTCAGTTTTTTTTTTCTCAGTTCTCACCCATATATACCACTCAACTACAAACAAATTTCTTGACCAATCATACCATGATTTTTACTGTCAAAACAGCTGAACTCTTAACTGAAAGTTTTGTTGCAAACTTTAATAAAAAATGCATTATCTTAATTTACAGTGCTGCACACAGTTAATGTTAAAATCGTCATTGATAAAAACAGCTGTCAAATATTTACATTTAGCCAACATGGCTTATCAGTTACGCATTCAAAAATAGACAGTGGGTGCAAAATTGCCAATGATTTGTCTTTACTTTTTCTGTGAGACTTTAAGTGACCTTACTTTGAATTAAAGCATCTTTAGTTAGCAATATGTTTCTTAAATGAGCGAAAAAAAAACAAAAAAAAAAAACAAAGATATCTTTCACAAAGTGTTAACATATCCTATTCTGGCTTCCAAATATATTCTATAATCAAAACCTAAAACGTAGACTAGTATCAAAAAAATTGTAGATTCAATTTATAGAGAAAACAGGAATCTGCCAAAACAGACCTTGATGATGATTACAGATCTTCACTTGATACCTTTCAAGTAACTATTAAGCAAAAAACTACCTAAACGATCCCTAACGTTTGATAGGTTATGTATCTGTTACTTCCCTCGACTGACAGTGTTACTGTTTGATGTAAGCTGGGAGACCATATAGTACAGGGGATGCTCCTATCAAGTATTTCAGTTTGCAAGCTTGTCGGGATAGGCTCAGCACATCTGCTAATGAGAGGTGTGTGTCTTGCTGAAGCCACTTTTTCAGAAGTGAGTCACTGAAGCGATCAATGTCCTTGTCAGTAACGTCCCAAAGGTTAGCGACAATGGCTGGGCTGCAAGTGAAAACCACTCCAATTTGATTATGATGACCATGAAAAATGTGTAGTAACTAATAGTGGCATTTTAAAAAAATCACTCTTTTTATGCCATTTGGTTTATAAACGTCCCCAAGAACATTCAGGAGTTTAAAATGTGCATCATAGAGGAGGAGCAAGCAAGGCAGCTAAACACTTTTAAACCCATATCAATCTTCTCCCCCCCTTTTTATACAATATGCTAAGGATATGCAAGAGTTTTAACAACATTTGTTCAGTACTGTAGTAAGGTTATCATAAGGCAATATGCTCTTTCACCCTTGTTTATCTTTCTTCATACCCTTTGGTGTAGCAATACCCAAACAACATTCTAGAGTTTTGGAAAACTTGTTTTAGAAGAGTAGTGTTTAAGACTGCTCTAGCAATACACTTTTTAAAGCCAGTGGCCCAGATTCATGGTAGCACTACGTGTACTGTCATATTTAACAGGACTATTTTTGGTGAGGGAGGCGGGGGAGGGAAATTTGTCACATGACATCGTAAAGTCTTAGACCAGTAACTGACTAAGCTAACAAGGGTGTCTTGTCTGACCAGTAAAGAAATATCGCTGTTGGTAAGAAAGACTAAAATGTTCATTGAAACACTTACCAGCCAGCTAGAAGGTAATTCAGAGCCATTCCTCTAGGTTCGCACTCCCCGCCAACCTGACGAAAAGAAAAAGAAAACAATTGAAAAAATTTAAAAGAATATTTAAGCACTAAAAGATAGTGTAAAGATATAATACTACAAGAAACGAAATAGATAGTTACACACGAATAAGAATCCAACCAACACGCAAAAAAAAATGTTGTAAATGTCTTCTTTGAAAAAGGATCATGGTAAAAATGTAGCTTTTCAAACTAAATCTTAGTTACGGTGTGGCAAGAAATTTTTGCGGATTGGCGGTTTTTTATGTTTGCAGGAACTAATTTTTTGCGATTACGATAGATTGGTTTTTCTTGCTGGGAATTAATTTTTCCGATTTTCAGAAATGTACCCGGTACCCAGTATTGATAATATTTTCGTTTTTATTGAGTACGTGCAATAGAAATATATATTTTCAAACAATAAACCAGTATTTCGTTGTATACCGTTTTGTTTCTGAATGAAAGAGACAAGTTGTGATTGAACAGAAACGATTTCTTTGTACTTTATTTTTGTGTAGCGAATTTAAGTGAGAGAATATTTACTCTGGAGTAAATTTTTGCGGGAAAAATGTTTGCGGTAATTTTTAGTTGTGGGAACTTATTTTTGCGGATCGTTGGAAAATCGCAAAAATTAGAACCCGCAAAAATTTCGTACGGTAACCTAACTAGACCAGGCGACTCAACCATTCCTACCGCTATTTACCAACACGGCTTTCATCCACATTTTCTCACCGTTAACTTTCCAGAACTGCAACCCATTAGCACAGTGGCAGCTCGGCAATCCAGTCTCTGAATGGCATCTCCTTGGAGAAACTCTCGCCCAGTGCCATGGCCAAAATAGCTACGGAGATAAAAGTGAATGCTTTTCAGTTTGTGCTTAACGTAACGAGGGCGAGATACACGATGCAGTGCAATGGGCAACAGAATCACATGAAAAAAAAAAACATGAAACAGAACAGGGGACTACTTCTGCAGCCTAGTTGCAGCTTTGTAAATGTAACAGTCTTTTCATGTGTCCAACATCCTCGAGAGTCCCCCGCCAGGAATGTTGTACCATGTAAATTGTATCGTAAATTCTCTAGAGGCAGAGTGGATTGCGAATATTGCGTTGTCTTAATTTATGGAACTGGCCGTTTTTTATAATAAGTTAAAATAACCGTTAAGCCTCGGGATAATCATTTAGAGTGCCCGTTGTTCTCATTGCGGCTGAAAGGAAGAAGCTTTTATATGTTAGCTTAATGCAGCTCTTTTTAGCTTAAAGTTGCAAGGTTGGCTATGAGCCTAAAAGGTATGGCAAGAAGGTGTGTTCACTTTTTAAACAACTTGTCTTACAAAACCATGCCAGCAAGGCGCGGTGTTCTCTACTAGCCTCCATCATTTAAAAAGGTATATGACATTTAAAAAGGTATATGACATTTAGTTTCATCATATTTGTTTTTTTTTTCTTCCCTTTTTAAGATGTGTATGCTATAAATTTCCCAATATGTACAGTACGGTTATATGTAAGCTTGTGGTTAATGATATTCTTATGTCCTTTTTTACATTGTAAAGCGCTTAGAACAGCGATGTATAAGTGCTATATAAATTCCATTATTATTATTATTATCATTGCGAAGCATTACAACAAGACAAAGCATCTTTGCTTGTATGAATTTACATAGTAAAAGAGCTCCGTACTTCAACTCGCTTCGCAACCTAATTGTACTAATCATCTGTACGTAGGATAATCGACTTATGTAAAATTTGTAACTAGCACATGAAGTTTCTTTCAACTTACATAAACAATTCATGGTCCGTCAGTGCTTTGATAAATGCATCTTGTGTAGGTGCCCTACCTGTGATACCCTGCCATCCATCTTCACTATATGTTGCATGAAACGAAATACGTGTTATTTAAAGGAACAATGGTGTACCATGTATATTGCAGGCAGCTGCCGGACATAGCCAACAATTGAAGAAGTTCAGTTTGTCACATTAGGGAGCTTAACGAACGCCGACGATGACGGCAGTGAAAACGTTACAAAGAGAAAAAAATGTGGGGTCCTTTTAAACTTCACGCGTCTGTTTAGCCTTTCTCAAATTGCGAAATGTAGGGGAATTTCCCAGGAGTTGAATTCTTAAGGACTGTATCCAAGTAAGAAGAGAAAAATTCGTCATCGCGTATTTATGTCATTAATAATATACATGAAAAAATTTCTCGATTTTGATTGGCTAAGAGGAATGCAGTTTTTAGATAACACAGTGCAGAAAAAAGGTAATTGAGTGCAGAAAAGAGTAACAAACGTGACATTCTGATTGGCTAATAAACAAAGGAACACACTGAGAGCCAATCAAATGCGCCATCTAAATGGCGCAAAATTTGGATCCGGTTCGGACAGGTTTCGAGCAAAAACCGCAATGGTTGGCGATTGCAGCACATTTGCTATTGCGACCGAAACAACTGTAGAGGAGCTGAAAAACCGCTCTAAAAAGGAAAACACTGCGAAAAGCACTGGTTTTTGGCTCTCTTTTTAGAAGAATTGGTGCGTAGGTAAGGAAATTACTGATGAAATAGAAAATTATGAGCCGGCTGAGCATAACACTTTGCTCGAGCATTTCTACGCCGAAGTAAACAATACAAAAAAGGTGAAGATTATGAACCAGAAAGCCTTAAAGTAATGAAGGCATCGCTTGATAGACACTTAAAGAACAAAGGCTGCACCCTGTCCATTGTACGTGACCGAGAATTTAGTTCTTCCAAAGAGGTGTTGGAGGAAAAAGCGAAACAGCTTCGCTTGGCTGGCCGTGGTAAGCGCCCAAACAAAGCTTGGCAAGTATCAGAGGAGGAAGAAGAAATTCTCTGGAAGAGCGGTAAACTCGAGGTAATAACCCAGAATCTTTATTTCAAACACATTGAACAATTCCATGAACTGTTCAGCCCGTTTCTGCAGCTTGCAAACTTTAAAAACATCGAGCAAAATGTTGTTTTGACTGCACGTGTGATGATATTTGCAGCATTTGAATAATTTATTTTTGCACGTAGTTTACGCGGGTTGACTCCCTATTAAAGAGATTTTAAAGCTATCTCGCAATTTTTTCATGAATATTATTAATAAGTAATCACATGATTTTTCTCGTGCAATTTGGAATAAATAAGCACTCGTAAATTTTTTCAAAGACCACAAATTGCACTCGCCCTACGGGCTCGTGCAATTTTGTTAGCCTTTGAAAAAATTTACTCGTGCTTATTTATTCCAAATTGCACTCGAAATCATGTGATTACCTGTACAAACGTTCTCAACACGAGGTTTCACGTTGTATTGGTGAAATGGACGTCATCAAAATGTACCAAAAAGTGAGCAGAACTGTTTTGCTTATAAAACCATCCTTGTTGCTGTCATCGTTGCTTAAGCTCCTCATATTGCGGAAGCTCCTCCTTAAGTTGTTCTACGATTTGCGTGTTTCACAATTCATACCTTTCAAACCACCTCTGGAACATCTTCTGCGTGTTAGGAAGGTTATTTTGCGGGTTGAGCGCATAAAATGTTTTGACAGGATCCACATAGGTCAATTGTTGTTGACAGGATACCTGAAAATATAATAAATGCTTTCATGCATGCAAACACGGTGTCAATTTTCTTGTTTCATTTCGAGCATCAAGAGGAACCAAGGGTTAACATTAAAATGATTTATTTTATCAGGGTCCGAAATTAACTTTTTAATATGGGCGCCAACTGGTGAGCAAGTATAAATTTTTGGTCGCCAGAGGGCAAATTATTTTCGCCAAAAATTCCCCTTGGTGGCTTGGAAACGTTCAACTCGTATTGATCGTAGCTGTTGTGGAGGTATATTTACAGGAACATTCGTTTCCCTTTTAAATTAAAAAAATATCAGCAGGACAAAAAGTACGACACCTGTTGGCAAAGAGCTTCGAGGTTTCGATTCTTAATCATTTTCTCCGAACATGAAAGTCTACAATAACAACCAGCTTTACAAGTCGCCAGCTGGCGACCAGCTATGAAATTCTGGTCGCCAGAACTGAATTTTTGGTCGCATTGGCGACCGGGAAGGCGCAATTTCGGACCCTGTTTATTGATAAGGAGCAAGTATGATAGCGCAACATATTGCTCACAACAATGGAATACCTCCTTATTAGCTTAATGTAACGCAGCTCTCTTTACCAATACCAGACTACGTCCCAACCCTTCTTAACCCCTTAATTCACCCACCACATGAAAGGTTGACTACACCGCCACCGATAAATACATTCGAAGGTCTACATCCTGCTCAATTATTTTAAGATCATGAGTAGTGATCCAACCAGGAATAAGGAGCCCGCACCTATCGCCCACTAGCACCCACCCAGTTGAGAGTGCCAAACAGTTAGGTTCTTGACCATTTCTGAGAATATAAAGCGATAATGGACTACGTAAACGAGTTGGGGCTTTCATGTTTTGAAACCTTGTGTGGGATTATGGCTAACTCAGCTAGATTGGCAAAGTGGTACTCAGTTTAAGAAGCTAGCTTGCCCAAGGTGGATTCCCCTCGACATCCCAGTCACCCATCCCATCATGTAACGATAATACAGTCAACTTTTCTACTATTTATTTCTCATTTTTTTGTCAGCAGCACGCCTGCATTTTACCTTTGATAGCAGAAACTGCAGAGAAGGTACTCGAGTCACAGGATGGTCAAATAGCATAGGTATACTTTCCCAAGGCAGGTGTTGAATATCCTGTAAAATGGTAAAAATATAGATCTTTTCATCGCTACTCCCACTTTATTTTTCACAACCACTAGGTTTTGATCAGTGTCAGAGCCAAAAGAATATGCCTCCTTACCTTGCCAAGAATAAGAATGACAGGATGACGAGTAACCACTTCTGGGCTGCTTTCAGTCCGGTGAAAAAAAAAGGAGAAAGATTTTACGTTAACTAATTTTAAAAGCACATACATCATAAATGATCGTCACAGAATGCATATACATCACAAGTGACAGGAGTTACACCAATTTTCTCACACCTATTTTGGCCAGTTTTCTTGCTGACAGACGAAGACGAGTTGCTTGTGACCTCCTCTAACTCACGAAGAATCTGAAATCCAAAAAACGAACACTAGTTAAGAATATCTTCAACGAGGTTTCAACAAAATACATGCAACACAAATGGACTTTATAAAATTGTCATAAAAACATTTGAGGTTACTTCATTCAAAGAGGCAGATTTGGGATCTATGCCAGTGATCTCTGAAATCGCATCAGCTTTCTCGTCTCTTGACAAGTGGGATGCAGAATCAACAAGAATCTGAAAGAGATATAAGCACATTTAAAATGATGAAAGAGAGAGCAGCAGCCTTTCAAACCTAGTTTATATTGCATTTATTTAAAACCAGAATGATGCTATAGACTAAAGTTACTTTCTTCTCCGGGTATGGTTGACAATGATCCTTAAAAAATGCACTTTAGTTGAGTGTCAATGTATTTAGTACGAATGTACTAATCGGGGACACTATTTTTTACGTGGTCATCCGAGCCACGCGAGGGTCTAGTCTCTTGCAGTGTAAAGGGAGTACTTCACTTCTCAGTTATTTTAAGACTTTGAGTATTGGTCCAGCCCCGGGAATCGAACCTGCAACCTCCCGCTTTGCAGTCACACGCTCTACCGACTGAGCTAACACTGACGAGGTAAACCAAAGTTTACCAAAGTTTAGATAGTGAACTAAAACAAACAACGTGGGACACATATTCATTAAGATGTGGATGTAACTTACTCTATTTTCACACCGAACTAGTAGTGGCAAAGAGGAAATGTTAACCAACGTTTCTAAGAGGTCATTAATACAGTTGGGCTGGGAATCAGAGTGATAAATCAAGCATGGATTGGTCTCCACAAAAATGACCATATTGTTTGCATTACCTCAAGAAGTTGTATATCTGGAGGACATGTACACAAATTAGTGATTTTCCCTTGTAACTGCCTGGCAGCGGACACTGTGGCCTCTTGATGATCCTCGTTGATTGACTGACCAAGAAGAACCCCTTTCCATCTTCCAAGCCAGCACGATTCAAGCTTTTCCAAAAGGATCTGAGTTAAGGAATTGTCAACCAAAACGACGATAAATTTAAGACAACTAGACAAAGTGAAGAGCACGTAGAATGTGCCATTTGAGCATCATTGTCGAAATAGTTTTCAGACAATTTAGCCTGTGAATTTCATAATAGACAAGCAAATGTGAAATACCACCGGTGAGTCACTGGGCAGTGAGGTTAAGCCACTGGCTATGTCTCCTTCACCATCTTTACTTATCACGAGTAGGGGACCTAGATCCCGGTAGCCTGCTCCATCGTTCGAAAGGGGGAAGGGTTCGTCACTGGCGACAATTATTGGTTTTACGCTGTTGAAGTTACCCTGCCAAGAATTTGCGAATTTAAATCTCATTCTGAAAGTTGTACCTTCATTTTGGAATCTAGCCTGGTTCTTTGTGCCCACCACTCTGAAGTGTTACTGACACTCATGCTCTTCACATTGTCAGTCATAATTTCATTAAACTCCTCCATCAGGCTGCATTGAAACAGCTTACATAGATCCATAACTACATCATCTGCCTGTAACAGAATACAAAAATCGCCACTTAATCACTACTTAGTAAGTCTAGCCTACAAAACTTGGTGACTCTCACAAAAAACCTTTCTTACTTCAAGGTTACGGCGTATTGGAACTAAATAATACTCTTAGTCCCATAAATGATTTTCACTGACCATACAGACTGCATTTTTAGCTTCCCTTGTAAATCATGGATATTTACAGTATCTAGATTTTTCATAGTAGAAGGCATGAAAATGGATCAAGTAAAGAATATTGCTCCTGTGACTGTGGCGACTCTGCAATGTTGTAACATAAATTGTTTCCTGAATGTGTCTTTTTACTTTTGAATATGTCAGTCTTTTATTCATCGTCCGTTTTGAACGCATTCGTTTATTTGATATCCGCTGCCGAGTAGGTCTATTATACAAACTTAGTTCTTGTATGGAATTTGGGGTGGCCACTAAGTCAAATTTGAAACCCCCAAAAAAGGACAAATTTTAATTATCAGTGAGATGACTATGGGGTAAACCCACTGCAAGTTTAAATCATCTATGTTCACGCCTTTATTCCAAACACTCTGGAAAAAGAATTATTTAACATTTTCTGTAAAAAGTGGGCTCTTTTTGTAGCAGGCCATTTTCGCGATCGCGACAAGTTGACTTCAACAACCAGAAATCATTTCATTTTTGGTTTCTTATTCAACTTTGACAATCCCACTGAGGTTTAGAAAACAATAGCCCTAACTGGCACAAGAAAACAACAAACTGAAGAATTGTAATAAAAAGTGTTCATTTTGCAAATTATATTCCTTTTGAACTACGTAAAAAAAATACCTCTTTTTCCTTTACATGTTCCTCTCCTAAAGTTGTGTTGATCTTAACAAGCACCGGTTCAGAGCCAGATCTGATCCTACAGATCAGCAACTGTCTTTCTTCCTCTCCAGGAAGCTTAAAGGACTCCAGTGTACACACCGTCCACTCTGTGAGGAAATATATATATATTTTTTAGAACACACTGGTCATTATTGTGTTTTACGTGATTGGCAGCATTTATCAGTAAACTAAATTCGGAACTGAAAAACATATTTACTATAACAATAAACAAAAATCGGAGAATTTAAGTATGGTCCATCCTAAAATTGTGCCAAATTAACATCATTAATTAAAAATTCCTTTCTCAGGTCACCAGCTAATAACTATTTTCAATTCACGTAACGTACCTTTTGGAATGTCCTGCAAAAGAGCAAGTTCTTCAGGGGAAAATAGAGACGTCAAATCCCCACCTCCACGAGGACTTGAGTTGAACTGCATTATGCTTCGGGTTTTTAAAAGATCTGTCAACTTGTTTTTATCCTCAGGTTTAATTCCTGACAATGAACAATCATTAATTGACAAAGAGGACAGTTCCTTGGCAAGTTGCTTCATGTCTCCATCACGCTCCTGATACAGAGAGAAAAAAGAAAAAGATTCAATCATAGAACATACGAAGAATAATAAATTTTTGACGTCGTCATGGTGCCCCCAAAATTAGCGGTTCTCGCAAGGTCTCCCATGAATAGCCTTACAAGAGGGGGGAGATAGGGGTGGGGTACTTAACAGAGGATTTACGGTAGTTGTTCCCAGCCCTTAAAACAAGACCAGAAGCTACATTAGAAGGGCGCGTAACACACTGCCAATTTTAAGTATCTTGACTTCTAGTGAAAGAAAAAGAGTTATTCTGTTCATGGAAAGTGTCCAAATGTCTCAGTTAAATTTTAGGTTAAAAATTAGGCCATTCTGAGACTCCGAACTCAAAAACAGTTCCCGTTTCCCGTTTGGCGGAACATTGTCTACATCAGGTTTCTTATCTACCTAAATCTATCTAAGGACAAGAAATGACAGAAATTGATTTTTCAACTCCTGCCACGAAATCAAGAGTTAGCTCGATTATTCCTGACAGTCGTTCTTAATATCAGAGGACTGCGACGGTGGCAAAAACATCCCTTGAAAAGTGATTTCGCGTTCCTTAAATCTTCATTGTGATTATTCCAACTCCGTTACTTTGTCAAATGTGGGCGAATTCTCCCGGAGTTAAATTCCTAAGAGGCATTTCCAAGTTCAGAAGGAACTTCCTCGTCGGATCCTAAGGTCCCTTATATAGCAACAAGAAATCTGCAAAGGCATATGAAAGGCAAATACGTTTGAAACGGGTATTCTCATTGCCTTTTCAAGCATGTTTGGGATAATGTGACCAGGTTTTGTGTGATACATACCACTGACAAGGCAGCTGTCACACCTTTTGCTGTTCTCCTAAGGTAAAATAAGACATCGAGTAATTTGAAGCATATTACTAACAGGAAGTCAGGAAGATTGAACTACCTAAAAGGTACCGATAGGTTAATTTTTTAAACATCGTTCTTTATTAACAATTCACGGAGATGACTGTCAGTACGAAATCCACTACTTGCGTTGTCAATTTTGAATCACTTTCATAATGAAAAGTGCATGGGGTAATGAAGGTGAACTGTCTTTGAAAAATCATACATATCATTCCGATATAGTATTGGGAGAAAAAAAAAATTATAATAAAATCCTGTAAATAGGACCACTACTGGGCCATGAAAATCTGGCTGGATTAGAGAGGTTTGCGAAGAAATAAAATAAAATAAAATAAAATGAATTTTAGGGCCAAATTATTGTGTTCGCAATGTGATTGTAAGACAGGCTTCCTCTTTATTTTCCTAACGACAGGCCTTCTTACTTGATTCTCTTTCCTGTACTTGTAACAGCTTGGTGTCTCAATGTGATGGATGATGCCAAGTTTAAGTAGTACATGGAGAGTTGGGGTGCTGATCTCCCATGACAGAAAGCCAGTCCTCGACAGATGTCAGAGAATAGGGCTGGTGGAGGATCAACTTGGCACAGGTTAAATGCTTCATTCCAGTAATGGATGGTTTGTTCAATCCATTTGGGAGCTGATGAGATGATAGAAAATAATTATTAATGTTAGGAAAAGTACATAGATAACATTTTAATGTTATAACCAGTCCATGATGATTTAACATGCTATTTGCCTGACCCTTTCAATTCCAAACATGTCAAAAATACAGGAGAATAGGATCTAATTTTGAAGAATATTGAAAAAATATCCCATACAAAAGAGCCGCTACAGAAGGTTGAATGCCACAACAGAGGATTTGTTTCACCGTCTCAGATATTAAACTATTAGCTAAAACCGATTCCTGACACAAATGGCAACGCAGACATCTGTCAACACACACAAAAGTAAGAACTAGCATATGACTAGTACCTCCCAAATACTGCTGAGATGTTTCCATTGAATTTTCATACCGGTACCATAGGATTTCATCCTTATATTCAAGTCAAATGTATAAAATACACTAATCCTAGGCTCATAGCATTCTGGGAATAAATCAAAGGCTGAAGATAAAAATTGACAGACCGAAAGAGCGCCAGTGCCTAAAATGATCAAGCATCCAGAAGCCAAATTTCAGTTACAAAACTCAGCCTTCTCATTCTATGGTTCACTTTAATGGAAAAATAAAAAGTCAACAAGAATGGTCTTCAATGAAATAAGTAAGTTTCACGTGTAATAATCTGACCTGTTTTATGACCATCCACAAGGTTGGAAGGTTGCTTTGCAGACCGTGCTGGTTTTCTACGTCCCTTTGTCTTCCGCTGAATATTTGCCTCAGAATCATCATATTCTGCCAGGGCCTCCTCTGCCTTCTTGCCTCTTCCTCTACCTTTTGCTCTTGAAGATGTTGGCCTGCTGCTAGTATCATCTGGGGCTGATTTCTCTATAGGTTTAGAATTTCTACCTCTTCTGCCAGAAGCCTTCCTTGGCTTCTCCACCTCACATTCGTCAACTGCGTCAACTTTAGAGGAATCAACTTTCTCTACACTGTTTTCCAAAGAGCTAGTCTTTGAGTCTGTTTCAGGAAACCAGTTACAATCCACACAAACATCTTTGGCAGAAACCTTGTTTAGACGCAATGTGGCAACACCAGACATATAAAGGATGGAAGCCTTCATGGGTAACAAATGCATAGGATTGTATCCAACAGAATTCTCAACACAGTGCAGTATTTCCCTTGCCTTTAAGAGTACTTCATTGGCTTCCTCAATCTTTCCCGTTTGCAATGACAGCTCTGCACTCGTACAGTAGAATGAAGCAAAATACTGACAAAACATTACCTGTGAAACAGAACAACTTTGTAGCCCTGTGTCCTCTTTCTGCTTTCTGCCTTTTGCAGGCTTTGCTTTGCCTTTTTTCTTTGTCTCTTTCAAAATCACCTCACTTGGAGCACTACATGCACAACCACATAAAATCATGCCCAGTCTCTGGACACACATCGCCATCTTCTTTTCTGCACACTGGCATACTGACTGCACCAGTTCTAAAGCCTTCCCTGATTGCTCGGGTCTTGAAACATACAAGAGATATTTGGCAACACTCAAAGAGTACCTAATCAGTATGTTGTGAAGTGTTGTATCAATACAGTTTACACATTCGCATGTCTCTGGATGACCAAGAAGCAGAGGTTCTTGAATTTCATTTATGGAAAGATTGGATCGGCTGGAAGGTTTCAAAACTGGTTGTAGGAGTCCACTGAGCTGCTCAAGACGACTTTTGCACTTATCACCCTTGCCTTGTTTGAGTTCCAACTGAGCAATGTTAATGAGAAATTCTGCAATCCTAAAGGAGAAGAATGATAAGTTCTATCAATATGCAATCAGGTCGAATATAGGCGGCAATGTTTCATTCCCTTAACGTAGTTTGCGTAAAATGTTTATCTCCCAAGCAAAATGAAAATAGGATCTAATGCCTGGCCAGAAATTATTCTTTTGCTATATAGACGTCAATTTAGCTACTTCCATGCTGCAACCTTGCAATTACATTGTGTAACTAACAAAAAGAATTTAAAGCTGTGAGAGAAAGAGAGTAATTTTGTTATAAATGGTTATGGTGAGTTTTGAGACTCATCTTGTGAAAAAACATGAGTCCTTGAGTCAAAAAAGGAGTCCTAAATTGAAAATGCTTGGGCCTTTATGTAACCAGCAATTAATCCGGAGACAGACGCCAAACCTCTTTATTACAGTTTACTGAAATTAAAAAAAAGTACTTCTATATATTTAAAGCACAGAAAAGACTAAAACAATATGCATCTTTAAACAACAGCCACAGAATCCCACGAACAGGATATTATACCAAAAAATCATCTTCAAATCGATCGTTCTTTGCGTCCTACGGGACGCATTTCATGAATTATTTACTGCCTAGGAACCAACATGACTTTACAGTGCTGCTGAAAATGAACAAAAAAGTGCGAGATAATTATGGCTGACTACTGTGTATTGGATCAGACAATCTAAAACAAGGCTGGTTAAAGAAAAGCATTATAATGAATACCTGTAAGGTAGAGCAAAGTGTCTTGCCAAAGTTAGACCATCTACAAACTGCCTGAATGCCTCTCTTACAGCACCCTGTTGGGCATATAACTGGCCAACTTGTAGTAATGAAGACAGAAGCTCATCCAGGAGTGACATATGGAAAAGGCTTTGATTGATACTTGGGAGAATAAGAGGGCCCTCGGCTGTAAAAATTGAAACAAAATAAAGTCCTTAAAAGTGTTGTGAGTTAGTGTTGATGATAAAGAAATGAACATAATTGTAACAAATTAATCACACGCGTAAAAAGAAGATGAAAAAGAACAGGGAAAAATTCACTTCCGTTTGGAAAAAGATCATGTGGCTAGGATTTGATCCATTAAAGTTATGGAGACCTCTTTAAACATACCGTAAGCAAAGACACCTTTGGTGTTGTTACGTTTTGGTGAATGAATGGTGGTGAATGTGGAGAAGTTCAACAGAAGGTTGCAGTTTGATATCCTTATAATCATTTAAGTCGAAATCAAGGCAAAGCATGCCATGCTTCACTTTTTGCTCATTCAATAATACGGTATTTTGGGAAAGGAAAATAACTGTTGCTGAATGAAGAGAGGGGAACAGCAGGCACGAAAAACAAACACGTCTGACAAACTATTCAGTGCCAATATGTCCTGAGAGGTGACAATTGGAGGCTAACATTATGATAGAAAAGGGTCATCTTTTTACCTGACACATCTTTATTCTGTTTGCCCTTCTTTCGCCCACTACTGAACACATCCTCTCCAAACACCTCCTCAGCCATGTGGCTTAACTTGTGAAATCCATCAAGAGCACATTCCAAAGAAGAAAGTGAACCAACAACAGGATCTTCACAAAAGAGCAAGATCATTCATGATAGAGTCAATAAGTGCGTTCCTTTGCGATGATCCGGATCAGGATCAGTGATCTGAGATCACTTGGATCATGGTAGATCAAATGAACCGATGAATCCACTCTGAACAAGGATTCATTCGTTGATTTGATCTAAAATGATTGGAGAGATCTCGGATCACTGATCCTGATCATCCCAAAGGAACGTACCCAATATTCCCTTAATGGACACCTTACTAGATTCAGTGTTCAGGCCATTATTCAATCCTCTGTTATATGTAACCACACCGCGACATGTTTGGTACATTTCCATGCAAGGGTCCAAAATTAGATAATTGATCTCAGATTTTTGGATTTCTTAAGGGAATGTTGGGAAATCAAAAAATCTCAAAAAGATTTCCTTTGACAGTTGATGGTTTTGATGTCAGACAGCCACCTTTTCCAACGCTAGACATCAAAGATGCCAAGATTAAAAACTGTCAACTGCCGAACCGTAAATTAACCCATTCGCCCCTGAACCGCCCTTAACCGCCCGTGCGGATCCAGGTCCTTTCTACCCTTTGTGACGTCATCAGTTTTAACGATCAAGGACAACTTTCTTCGCTAACTTGTGCAGAGTGAAGAGATCTTTCAAACCATACCAGAATGAGCAAAATTCAGTCAAGGACACCGGAGAAACAAGCAAAAAACCACGTGACATGGACGTGAAAATCTCCATGAAAATCTTGTTCCATTGCCCACCTACCTTTCCTTTCACCTAATCCTAAGATCCTAAAAGCTTTCCTAAAAACTCTTCCCACCAAAATGAAGCCTACTAAATGCCCAGCAAGAGAAAAAAAAAGGCAAGAAAAGCGAAAAAAGAAGGCAGGGGAGAAAGCGAAAAGTAAAAGTCAAGACTGCTGTGTCACTTTTAAATTTTGCTTTCTGCGCATGCCCGAACTTCGCAAGCTGATATTTTGCATCTGGATTAGAAGGCCGCGAAGTGTACGACCTGTAAACCGGTTTGTGGTAAGTTTTAGGTCTTTATAGCACGACAGTGACCAGAAAACCACTCGAGTAGCTTCAAAACGCGTTTTTCGGCAAAATCTCCAGGAGCGAATGGGTTAAAGCAAATAAATTTCTTATGTTTTGAGAACTATCAATGCTTTTTGACTTTTCTCAGCCAAATAAATTTCTTCAAAAGAATGGATTCTTGAGTATTCCAGCAGTACTACTTGCAGAATCTAAGGTGGTGAGATGGTTGGCCTCATATCTTTACAGGAAATCCTGGTCTTTCTTTGGATCCACGAGCAAAGAAATGCAGAGATCATAAAACATAAAAAATCGCGATGTAATTTTACCCATGACTATACTTTTGGCCCAGGATTCATAAGATGCAAAACTTAAGATTTGATTTTCCCAGAGAAATAAACTGTTGGTACATAATCCCCACAGTGATGTTGGTCTAACTAGAATATACATATTACTAGAATACTAAAACAACATATTACTGGTAAATTATTAAATTGAGTTTTCAACTCACCCAAAGTAATGCTGAATTTGTGGAGTTTAGCTGGGAGCATGGAGTATTTCGCACACAAAGACATTAATCTGGCCTTCAGTAAGTGGGACCTGTAGCTCTTCTGAGTCAAAGCATCACTCTGTAACACTTCCATTAAACACTGCTCTCCCTCTGAGTACTAAACACAGGAACAGATAATTATTTAGTTTAGAGGAAGACAAACAGTCACTCAGATACTGATAAATGTGAGGTTACACTCTTAGAGGCAGCCAGTAACCACCCAAAAGCCACACACATGCAAATCAGCCCTGGACTATATCACAATGATGTTACAACTTTAATGAGGTACCTGTACCAGTACTTGTCCAGTACTTGCAAGCAAATAACATAATCTAAGGACATTTTCAGTTACTTGTGAGCTTTTATGGTATGATACTGTTAAAGCACCAATTTACAACTGGTGTTGAAATCCCATGAGTTCATTCATGGGTTCAGGTCTGCATGCATGGCAACATTTTGTGCATCAATATTATTCTCTCAGATTAATAAGGAATGGAAATGCAAAATACTTAGGAATGACAAATTGATAGAGACTGTAAGTATTATTTAGAAGAGCGTTACACACTTATGTTTTTGTAAACTATACACAAGCACTGACAAGCATAAAAAATAATAGCAAACACTCGTACATTGCAAGTTGTAAATGTACAATGTGTATGTCAAATAGTAAACTTTATAACAGACTAAATTAGACTACATGTATAAGTATTAAAAAGTAGCTCTTGGCTTATAATTTTCATTATCCCTTGTGCTTAGAGGAATAAAGCAAAAGAAATGATTCAGGAACAACTAGCTCACCTTTCCTGCGACTAACAGATAGTGACTCTTTGCCAACAGAAACTGGACCATAACTGAACCACTTGGTTCAAGGGTTTCCAACACATCACTGGTCTGATGCAGCAGAAGACTAGCATGAGAAATGTCCAGCACATCACACAGAGTATGAACAGCTTCACTACAGGCAGATATTCTATTATCCAACATACTGTTGGTGCTGATTGTTTGGGCAATGGTAGCAGCAAGATGAAGAGCACACACCTTCTTGAATGGCTGTAAAAAGTTAAAAAATTACTCACTGAATGGTTGTAAGGTAAACAGTTTACCGTAAATCCTTCTCCTACTGTAAGCCCCCAGAGAGCTTATTTATTGGAAGCACATTTGCATATTTTGTTTCCACATAATTTCAAACCCGTGAGGTTGGATTGATGGACACATTAAGATATAAACTAGATTCCCAAGGGATGCTGCAAGTCACTGAAGTAGATAACACATGATTTTCAGATGTTGATATGATTCCTTTCACCCTCAGCGACTAATTTTAGAAAGTTATTTAATCTTGCGATTAACTTGTATTTATATGGTCTTTTCATTGAAAACATGTTTTGATTTTTTTGATGAGCACTGCTTTTTCAACATACTACAGTTCTTGTTGTTCTTTTAGAACTCATCAGCAGAAAGAACCTAACACAGCTTGCGTGAGACAGTCCCCAGAAACAGCCTTCTATTTCCTTTCAGTTTACCTGGTTGACAAGTCCAAACATTCCAGCAATAATCAGAAGGTAATGGCAAGTTTCCTCAGGGTTAACAAAGTGTTGCCAGTCAATCTGCAAAAAGAACAACAGATATTACTTAAACTAATCTACAGTATTTATGCAGACTAATCAAGTTTCCAAACTTTTCATGTTTTAACCTGTGAGTAAGTTTTTAGTGGATGAGAAAAAAAAGAAGTGCTCTCTTTTCTTGCNATGGTTGCAAGGAAACAGTTTACTGTAAATCCTTCTCCTACTGTAAACACCCAGAGGGTTTATTTATTTGACGCACATTTGCATATTTTGTTTCCAGATTATTTCAAACTCCTGAGGTTGGATTGATGGACACATTAAGATATAAACTAGTTTCCCAAGGGATGCTGCAAGTCACTGAAGTAGATAGCGCATGATTTTCAGATGTTGATATGATTCCTTTCACCCTCAGCGACTAATTCTAGAAGGTTATTTAATCTTGTGATTAACTTGTATTTATATGGTCTTTTCATTGAAAACATGTTTTGATTTTTTTAATGAGCACTGCTTTTTCAACATACTACAGTTCTTGTTGTTCTTTAAGAACTCATCAAGCAGAAAGAACCTAACACAGCTTGCGTGAGACAGTCCCCAGAAACAGCCTTCTATTTCCTTTCAGTTTACCTGGTTGACAAGTCCAAACATTCCAGCAATAATCAGAAGGTAATGGCAAGTTTCCTCAGGGTTAACAAAGTGTTGCCAGTCAATCTGCAAAAAGAACAACAGATATTACTTAAACTAATCTACAGTATTTATGCAGACTAATCAAGTTTCCAAACTTTTCATGTTTTAACCTGTGAGTAAGTTTTTAGTGGATGAGAAAAAAAAGAAGTGCTCTCTTTTCTTGCCTCTGACCCAGTAGACATGTATCATAAAAAAAACAAACTTCACAATAATAATGCCCAAACTTTACCTTTCTGCCTGTCCCTTCTTGCACTGATCTATTTGCTAACACTGTCCATGTTTCCAATGCTGAATGAAGGGATGACATAAATGGCTGCTCCAGACATATGCCTTCGACCTAAAAAGAGAAGTAAAATTATATAGGAATAAGTTTATTATGTAAGTTTGCAATTGGGTGCCAGTGGAAAGGGACTTAGGGTGGGGAGCTAAATTACAAAAGGAAATACAAAGGTAAGCAAAGGGAGCAAGGGGTACACTGTATCACACCTGACCACCCCCAGCCCATTCCCATATAATTATTTCTGGCCTTGGTTGTTCAAACGTTAGATAGGGCTATTCACTAGATAAATCACTATCCAGTCAGTGGATCAAATAACTAACAATTGTGCTATCCACAGGATAGAGATTTATCCAGTGGATAGCATTATCCACCTTTTGAACAACTGGGGCCAGATTTGCATACCCTCTGAAGAAAAAAAAACATTTTATGTACATGTACCCCCTCTGTTTCATAACTTTCACTGAGCTCCTCTGCTGATTTTGCCTCTGGTTTGTCTTCCATTGTTGCTTTGTGCTCTAACAATGCCTGCCATAAATATGCTGCAGCAAGTCTGTCCTGCACAAGTGACAGGTGATTTTTGTCCTCATCTGTGTTAGCTGCTGTGTCTGCCAGCCGCTCCAGAATTGCAGCTGCTTCTTGACAGCACTCAAGTGCAGACCTAGAGCAAGGAATATCACAATGTTGAAGGCTATTGTTGAGGGCTGGCTGGGGATTGGGGTATTGCCCAATTAGAGATATGAACCATGAAACGTCCTTCTCTCCACTTCAACAACCCTGATGACACTTCATTATCAATTAATATCACAAGAGCATGGAATCCACAGAGAATTGATACCAAAATGTGTCACTTGTATTCAGTCTGTACTGTGTAAAGTTCAAGCAAAGAAATACAATAATACTAAAGTGACTGGCTTCATAATGGGCCATATAACCCGGAATGACATTATAAAAAAACAGCTGGCTGAATGTCCCTTTACCTTTACCACAAGTTAATGTATTTTTGCTATTCCAAAGTCATTTACCTATGTGTAAGACAAATGCCACATACTAAACCAAAACACACATAAGCAGTAGACTCACTTCTCCTCCTCAAGATCTTTGTCTCCAAGGTCATGCAGTGCTACACCAAACTCAAGCATCACTGAACCATAATGAAACTCATCATCTTGGATAATGTACAACTCCATAAGCTGTCTGATGACAGAAATTTGCTCCATGGTGGTGTCATAACTAGAAATAAGAGAAAAAATAGACCACTAAATGGTGTACAATACCGGGCAGAGTTTTTCAAAAAAGAATTGGGATAAAGGATAACCCAGGATCATCTTTGTTGGCGTCAACAACAGTCCTATTATATTCAGGACAACACTCACCCCGAACCTACTTATGAAATGACTCCTGAGTTCAAATGAACCCCTCAAATGACAATTGAACACACATGTATTAAGGAAAAAACATTTTTGGGAGACTGAGTACAGTATATGAAATAAAAGAGATCTTTTTTATGAAACCTCATCATCAGCATAGGGCTGTCGCTAAAATTTCAAGTTGTTGGGTATATCTACAGTTATGTAATTAGTAGAAGGGGAATTGTACAGCTAGGAAGTTCTTTTGGTTCTACATAATTTATGTATTTTACTTTTGTTTCCTATGAGAGTAGCTGGGGCTCACGCTTAAACATGTAGTTGCATCAGCAATACATGCACATGTACACTGTACTTTCACATGACCTTACAGTGTTACCGGGAAAACTCTGAACACTTGAAATATCTCAAGAATGTTTATTCTGTTACGACCAATCACAGCAAAGATCAGGAAACGCGAACTGGCCACAAAACCACAAACTAACTAACGTTCTTGCTTGTGGTTTAGTTTTCTCACGCCTGATTGGCTTTTCTCTTGCAAAACAATAGCATTCCAGAAATATTTCTTGTGTTCACTGTTTTCCAGGTTTGACTGTAATATTTCTTTCCAGGATGTGGTTCATACACGATTGTATGGTAATGAAAGAACTAAATGGACCATTAAAATAAGGAACTCTTTCCCTGTTTCTGCAAAAGGTCCAGAAACCTTGTGAAGTCTGTCTTTTTTGGGAACTTACTTCTTTGCCTTGTAAGAAGCAAGTTCTTCCTGAAGAACTAAACAAAGCTGACTGCTGTCAATATCTTCAGCATCTTTCTGTTCTGCTAAAACACTGCACAGGGTTCTACGGTAAACGGAGAAAAATACGGAAAGTCAGGTAAGACATGACATAACATATTTGGACTAACAGAATCTCATACTTTTTAGAAAAGGGCTCCTCACTGAAGGATTCATGCAGTTGTAATAAAATATGACATCTTCATGTGTTCTCAATCAGTGGCGCGTGCGTGGTTTTAATCAAAATTAATTTTTTAACAAAAATTTCTGACAAACCTTGATCTTTCAGCTTGTCTCTTTTCATCTTGCATACTTTTCACCAGTTCATGTTTCACTGTGGTCCATTGTTTGATCTGCTTCCTTAAGACATTTGCATCAAAACCAGTTTGAAGTGTTATAAGAACCTGAGTGGTAGCTGTTGTCAGTGCACCAACCATCTGTTTGGCTCGTCGCTGACAGTCAGTCAGCAGTGCAAATTTTGTTAGGAGCTTCACCTAAAAGAAATCAGTTCTATTATTAATGACGGCATGACAGGACTGAAGATTACTGTAAGACCCATCTAGTGGGTTAACATCACAAGTGTTTGCTTCCATTTCTCAGAAAAAAAGAAAACCATTGATGTGGCATTTTATGCACAGTGCAAAAAAAAAGAATAACAAGTATTTAATACCCAATATTAAAACAATGATTGATGAGCACTAGTAACTGTATCATAAGGATAAATTTGGTAATAATCACTACTGGGCTTATCAAAATGGTACATCATTTACCTTGTGGCACAAAATGTTAGCGGGATATAATTTTTGTGATTTTTCCGGCACACATATTTCCTGCAAAAAAATTCCTCCCCTGTAAATATTTTCCAACTTAAATTCTTCCAAACGATCATCAGAACAATCAGTTATCTCAGATGTTACTATAATTGAATGACAAAGAAAAGACAATAGTAATCTGTTACACTGGTTTTACATATAGTGTAGGGTACACAAACTGTTGCATTGTTTGAAACTTTCTTCACTGTATGCATTTCCATTGTGCATACTTAATAAAAAGGAAAATATTAACAATGACTGGTCTTGGACTTTCTGAAATCGCAAAAATCAATTCTCAGCAAGAAAAACCAATCTCTTCTAATTGCAAAATTGGTTCCCGCAAAACACAAAAATTGCAAACTCCCACAAAAATTTCATGCCACAAAGTATGAAAGAAAAATTACAAGGGTTAAGGCCATATTACCTCCACAGTCCTTGTAAAAATTTCCTCATCAGTCTTGCCAGCAAAGCACCATACTCTTAGCTCTTCACAAGCAATAGCTAACAGAGGAACTCCTTCAGTAAAGCAATCTCTCTGATATGACACACAACCCAAATTGTACACATTGCAGCCTAGCCAGCGGAGCTCGTTTGGAGACAATGGGATGTCTGGATCATCAAGGGCAGAATGAATTACAGAGTTTGCTTGTTCCACTACTGGAATACAGTCCTTAAAGATCTGACATCTGCATAGTATAAATAAAGAATGTGTTAACATTAACAGTACAGTAAACTGTTTCAAGATTGATACCCAGTAACGTTTGACTCTGTAGTTCTTTGTAACGGTCCAACAACAGCTGTACATTCATTCATTCCCCTATTCTTTATAGATATTCTTACCAGATTTCTCTCAGTCTCTTTGGACCTTCCCAGACCCAGACTGCTTACAGTACAGCTTCCCCAAAATGCTATCTTGTGAGAGATATTGCCTACAGTGTATATCCCCATTTGTGTGCGGCACAAAAAAGACAAATTCTAGAGATGTTTGTAATTTTGTTTCAAGAATCGTTAGGCTGATTGGCAAGAGTTGAGGATACTGGATATGCAATAAAAGTTTGAGCAGTGTTACATGTATAATGTTATGGTTCAAATTTATCCTTGGTTTAAATTTTATTTCCCAGGGTGCAAAGAAAGTCATTTTTACAGCTTGTCATTTGGGCAAGCTGAAGCTAGCATTTATTAGCCCAAACGTCATTTCAACTAGCCCCCCAAATTTTTTGATTAGCAGAATTGATTTCACAGTTCTTCTGTAAGTTGAATTCCTCAACATACTTCACTTGCCCATCGGGCAAGTCAAGAACAGAATTCACTAGCCCGATGGCAAAATCCACAAGCCCCGGGCTATCAGATGCTACTTTCTTTGCACACTGTTTCCCTTTGTTTTTCACTCATTTTCATCTATTAACATGCCCCAAAACAAAGAGAAATAAAACAACAACATACATGTAATCCTTTCCTTAAACTACAGTGTGTACACTGTAGTTAACTGTTTTAAATGTTTTGTGATAAGTCTACTGACCTTGAACTCCTGATTGTACTTTTCGCATCTTTTTCATTCTTCAACTGCTCTTGATATGAAGAAATAACAAAACTAAATACTGTCATCTGCCGTTCTGTGCTCTTTAGAACCTGTTGTTTCAGCTGTGCCACAATATTGTCATGTTTGGATTTAAGCAGCTCTGACTTAAGCTGCTCACACTGCAAAGATAAGACTGAGATGTAAGACTGCAGCACTTGTACCGTTCCTTGAAGAGTCTTCAATGAAAGAGTGGGCGATTTCTCCTTACTCTTTTTGTTACTTTCATTTTGCAAATTAATTCTGAAGTACTCCAGGGAATCTGAAAGTAGTTTTAACATTGATGAAGGTAATGTGCTACACTTCAGGACCTGGGAGATTAGCCAGTTACTTTCGAATAACATCTGCTGAAGAGATTCTTGAGTTTGAGATTTTATAGTAGAGTTCAACAAAATAGCTGCCTTGCAGACTAAACACACACAGCAACAAACTTGTGGAGGTATTTGTAGTTTAAAATGACCATTTTTGCAATGTTTTTCATTTCCTGCAATTTTCAACAGGTTATCAAACACAGCCAAAGCTTCTGCTGAGTTTCCAGCCTTATTACAAATCCTGCCGTAATGAAATCCAAGTTCAGCTAAGAGTACTGTAAATTCTTGTCCATTTGCAATCAGTTGTTCTTGCTTGTTCATGAGTGCGCTAAAAATGGTTTCAAAGAAGCTTGCTAAGGTTTTAAAATCAACATTCTTGAGCCCACAATCCACTTGAAATTTTGTCCCACATTTCAGAGTTCTATCTACCAAGGATTTTAGTGAAGAATGTACATTTGCTTCTGCTTGGAAAAGTAATGAGAGCTTTCTCCAGTCTAACACAACACACAAGTGAGATGGTCTTTCCCCTGGAGGTACTTTTGCCTCCTCAAGCTTCCCAGCTCCTTGAAGTAACAAATCAGATGAACGTAGACAAAGTGATCCAATTTCCTTGTCCATCTTTTCACTGTCGTAGCTCTTCCATGCCTTAAGAAGCTGGATGAATTTATATAGGTCATTAGCATGATCTAGAGCCCTTTCAAACTGTGCCTTGGCAATGAGCTGAGCAACAATAAGGTAAAGTGTTTTAGCAAGCTGATCTACTGAAGGAATAAACTTCAGGTAGTTTCCATGACAGAGTGATAAAGTGTTGTTGAGAAGTGTGCCCACTGAAATATGAACAGAACAATTTGCAACTTACATGTAACTTTATAGCCCTCTATTAATCTCACACGTAAAGCAAATGTGGTTTGCCAATTGGACAACTTATATTTGACCCATATTTAAGCCTTACTGGCCCTGGATTATCAGATAGCACTTTGTTCCGCCCTGCTTGCAACACATTGAAAATGCTATTTCCTTCCACTGCGAAATGTGTTGTATGTACCTGGGAGTAGGAATTTTCTTGCAAAGCTGTTGTCAGCATCACAACTGACTACTTCCTGAGTAAGTCGCAGACAATAAGTAGGTTGTAAATTTTTATTCCTATCAGGTGCGGATCTAGGATAAATACTGACCGATTTTCTAAACGAGCGCCAAAGGCACAAGCTTCTAGCGGGGTCCGGGAAAAGGCTCCCCCAGGAAAAAAATTGGATTTTTTACTACTTAAAGTCCCCTTTCCTGGGTTTCCAAGTCATTCAGACAGAATGTTGGCCGGATGGTAACTTGGAAAGTGTTTTTATTATTAAAAACATACAAGAGAAATTGAGCTCTCTTGAAACATATTAATTATGAAAATATGACCGATTTCCGTAAAACGGTGGAAACCGGTGTGGATCCGCGCCTGCCTATGCATTATAAATAAAACCCATTTTCGTTAGTAATGTTTTGCAGCTGGCCCCATTTTCAGAGTAAGCATTAAGCTTATTTTGGGAACTCAGAAAAGACCTAACCTGCGAAAACATCCGTTTCTCCTCGCTCTTCGCCGCTGGGGACGTTTCGCGCTGAGGAACTTCTGCGACTCAGCTACAGAAATTCCATACTGATGACGTAAAATCTGTCCAGAATCCGGTCAGAAGCGTTGATTGGTCGATGGGGTAGTTACATTGTTTTAGCTATTGTTTACGAAGGACAGTCTTACAGACAATGGCAAAAGGCCACAAAGGTCAAATGTAAACGTCACGGAATCTCTAACAAAACAGTCAATATTTGTGGAATATAGTTTTCTCTAGAAGAAGTATTTGACTAGCCTGCGAAAACATCCGTTTCTCCTAGCTCTTCGCCGATGGGAACGTTTCGCGGGGAGGAACGTCTGCAACTCAGCGACAGAAATTCCATACTGATGACGTAAAATCTGTCCGGAATCCGGTCAGAAGCGCTGATTGGTTGACAAAGTAGTTACATTGTTTTAGCTATTGTTTATGAATGACAGACAAAAGACAAAAGGTCACAAAGGTCAAATGTAAACGCGAAGAATCTCGAACAAAACAGTCAATGTTTGTGGAAATATAGTCTTCTCTAGAAGAAGCACGTGAGTTTTGCTGGAGCTCGTTGGCAGATGAACACAACAATTTACCAAAATCGACCAGAAGACACGTAAAATTGGACAAATTTGTATTTGGAACCCCATGACTACCGGATTCATTATGTAAACATTGGAATGCGTCATCAGTATGGAATTTCTGTCGCTGAGTCGCAGACGTTCCTCCTCGCGAAACGTCCCCGGCGGCGAAGAGTGAGGAGAAACGGATGTTTTCGCAGGCTAGTATTTGAGTTTTGCTGGAGCTCGTTGGTAGATGAACACAACAGTATACCAAAATCGACCAGAAGACACATAAAATTGGACAAATTTATATTTGGAACCCCATGACTACTGGATTTATTATGTAAACATTGATTTGCGTCATCAGTATGGAATTTCTGCCGCTGAGTCGTAGACGTTCCTCCACGTGAAACGTCCCCAGCTACGAAGAGCGAGGAGAAACGGATGTTTTCGCAGGCTAGAAAAGACCTTACTCCCAGACAACAACTAAGGTTGTTCGCATGCTTCATCTTACCTAGTTTCAAGGCATCTGTGACCTCAAAAAGGCCTTTTTGATTGGCTTTCACCTTTTTCAAGGTCTCTATAGCACACCTCAGGAACTTGGTACAAAAAGCGGCGTACTTTGATACAGTTTCCTCTGTAGCTTTGCCTCCTGCTTGGCAGCCATTTTTGTTCTTTAGCGGACATTGCAGTGGAGCAAGATAATTCTGCAAGTTCCACCAAACAATATTAAAAACGAGTCGAGGTTCGCGTTCAAGTGACACTCATTCTAAAACCTGCTCATGTAGATCCGCTGGATTCTTGCAATTAAAGAGTGTAACAAGACGCTCGCTTTGAAATAAACTAAATTTTTAAGGAAACGTTTTTGAAAGTGAGTAGCCTTACAAATCGTAAGTATCTTCGCTAACTGAGCTACATAGTGTCTTTAATAAAGCTACCATAATTTTACAGCTTAGTAAATTAAGTTAGCAAACAGCTAAGTTTGTAATTGTTCAACTTACCTTCGTATCCTCATAAAGACCATCTGTCTCTCCGTTTAGAAGTGATTTGAGGATTCTTTCCCCTTGCATATTTCTGTAAAGCTCTGCCCATTACCAGTTCGTTCTTAACATAGTGTTTTAAGTGTTTTACAGCACACTTTTGATGGTGAAACTCATCAAACCAGTCAAAAATGGCGCCTTCCCCTACCAAACAACGCTTGTTCCCAGGGCACCTCGCATTTCAAGAACTTTGTGTCGTCACGCAACGTGCGTGACGAAACTACGAAGATTTTCAAAAGTTGCGTGACGACTGAACCAATTCCCGCTGTAGCCTCCCCCGCAGACATTCTTGGGGGTGCGTCACGCGTTCCTTCCCCACCGCACCCCTAAGAATGTCTGCGGGGGAGGCTATTCCCGCTGTTACTGGCTTATTAAGACTTTTTTGGTCCTGTCAGCACAGTTTTTGCTTTCGACTTTCGACTCTAATTATAGTCACTTTCTTAACGTCAAATCAGGAGCCACGAAGTTCGTCGATTAGCGGCAAAATTTTCAAGTCGCGTTTTTCCAGTTTGTTTTCATTAAAGTTCTTTATAAGTTTATTTTTTTGCAATCAGTTTTCAGCTTAGTACAACAACGTATAATTTCTGTGTGGTCCTCGCAAGGTGGGGCATTTTTTTAAAAAAATGACAAATCTGTGGTGGGGGATAGCCTGATTAGAAGAATCCTGATTCTCAGACCTTTGCGAGATCATTCGCGAAAAGGTGACCACATGTGCCATTCACATACGGAATATGTGCTTTCACATGATTTCACAGCCATATTAGTGTCCCAAAACAATGAAATGGCGGCCATGTTGGTGTCCCAAACCAGTCCTATGGGAGTTGAACTCTTTTCTTATGCCAACGCTTTCTTTCGTTCCAATAAATTTGCATACTGGTCACGTGGGTGAAAACGCTCTATACGCCACTTCCACATTTCCCATAATGCACCTTATTTGCGCCGTCCCAAAAGAAATAAAAAACAATTGGGGGGGGGGGGGGAGGGGGCAAATAAGATGCGTTATTCGAAAGGTGGAAGTGGCGTATAGAAGGATTGCACTAGCTGTAGCTACTGTAGGTCCCTAATTGTTTTTTTCGGGATCCGGGAGTTTCGATTCCTTGTCTGAAGGCCTGGATTCGAGATTAAGAGTATGTACGAGAAGCAGGATGCTAAAAATAGCCATCGAGATTACGGGATGGAGAAAAAATTCGGGTCACAGCCTCCAAGAAGACTGGGGCGCTGCACTTTAATACAGGCAGAGTTAGTGAAACGCCGTTAGGAGCTAGAGGTCTAAAGCGGTCTTAAAGGGAAAACTACTGTTTCGTCTGTGCGTGACTTAGAGGTTACGACATCGGGAATTCCATTTTGTTAAACATTAGCCACATTGCATATATTTTGCCTGATTAATCTGATCAATCTGATTACAACAGGCCCATATGGGGAGATTTGTTTGAATATTTCAGTCACTGAAATGCCCATGCCCTAATAAGCATTGAAGTAGCTACCTAGAAAAAACATGATTGAAATACTTTTTTCTTAATAAAATTCTAAATATCACCTTTTTTTCTAAATATCCCGAGATTTTCTAAATATCTCAAAAAATAAATATCTCTTCTAAATATCTTCTAAATATAGACGAAAGATCGACCCTCATGGAGTCAGTTGGACTGCTTGCAGTCCGCCTTTTCTCTTAAAATCCGTCTAGTTCTTACGCAGTCAGCGCGATTGCAAACCACGACGTGGAGTCAGTTTTCATCCCGTCGTCTTCTAGGCGTCCACCGAAAGTAAGAAGTAACGAGTTGTCAAATGAGCTCTGCGAAGAAATGTTAACATCAACTCAGAACAACATTTGCGGAAAATACGGTGCAAAAGTATTTATTTGCACACAATTATAAGTTAAACCGATGCTTCGCCTTTGAGTCGTGCCTATTACTAAATACAGCGGTAAAAAGAATAAATAAAACAATTTACAGGTAGGTGAAAATCGAGATTTATCCGGTGGATGGCGTTATCCAGCCTCATTCCCCGGGGGGGGGGACTCCCATATGAAACAGACGGGGATGCTCGTCAGAAATTTTGAATTTAACCCCTAAAGGAGACCACCTGGGCGTGGCTCAAGCTTTTTGTCACCCCTAAAGGAGACCAATCTGGGCGTGGCTTAAGCAAATTTTGACCCCTAAAACAGACCGCTTAAAAACACACAAATACGACATGCAATGAGTTTTAATGATGTAAAGAGATAATCATCGAATGCTTTTATCTAACAGTAGTTTTTAAAAGCATTGTCATAAATCTCAAGTTCTTCGCGGAACCCTAAACGAGACCTTGGCGGCTTAAAATATTAGCGCTTTGCCCGGAACACCCTAAGCGAGACCAAAATCCAAAATTTACACCCCTAAGCGAGACGACGAGCATCCCCGTCTGTTTCATATGGGAGTCCCCCCCCCCGGGCCTCATTCTTTCTTGCCAGCCTTCAAACAACCGAGGCCAGGACTTGCTGTCATGTTGATATTTACAAATTGTAATTCATCACATTGTTTTAAAACTACCTGAGGTAAATCCTCACACAGGATATCACCGCGATATGTAGCGTAAATGAGTCTTTTTCTCCCTTCAGTATTGCTATTGATTGGGCTGCTGGATGTATTACGTACCAACGGCTCGATTCAGAACGCTCTTTCTCTCATCTGTTTGCTTGTTCCGTGCATTCAGATAATAAAGCGCGGAATTCAGATGGTGGGGGCATTAAATCGTACGCATGAGAAAACGAGAGGAGATTGGAGCGAGAGCGAGGGTTCCCTTCCCCTTTTTCCTTTCAGTCTCCCATCGTTTTTTTTCCTCGTCAATTTTTCGCCTCCGCTCTGTCATCTGAACGCCAGGAACACGCTACTCATCTGTAGATCTTTTTGCTCAGTAATTTGAATATTTCTGCTCATGGAACACTGATCCCTGCTTTTATCTCTGCTTATCCTGTTCCACGAGTTTAGACCGTGGGGACAGCGCAAAGAGATGTGAGGAGAAAAAAAACGAGGGGGTGGGGTAGGGGTGAGAACGAACCGCCTCTCTCCTTTTCTTCCTTCGCGCCGCACTCCACTGTCCGAACGCCTGGAACAGGCTAATCTGTGCTGTGTCCAACTCCTGACGGTAAGATGCGGCCTTTACTTCAAGGTGGTTCACTGCAGGTGTTTTTTACTCCTTCTGATACTCCTGGTTCGTCTTCTACTGTTCTGTTCGTTGTTTTTTTTCTCTGATTTGAGATGAGACTCAACGAGAATTTCTGTATCTGAAACAATAGTCACACCTATTGCAACATCTCAGCGCTTTTTTTTTCACTCCACACTCTCCGCTTCATTATACAAGCGTTCCAGTTCAACGGCATCCTTTTTATCGGCTTTAACCAGACTAACATCAGCTCCCAGGTCAACAAGCTTTTTGACAGCTTGCGCGTTACCACATCTCACTGCCATTTGAAGAGGAGTTCTGCCTTCTACGTCGCGGATGTCTACATTTTGCACTCCATACTGCAGCAGGAGATCGATTATCTTATTGCAATCTTTGTGACTGAAACGAGCTGACAGATGCAATGGTGTGAATCCAAATTTATGTTGAATATTTACATCCGCTTTGTGTTGAAGTAACAATCCAATGAGGTTTACGGCACCATTCATGACTGCCCGGTGTAGGGGTGTATATCCATTATTATCCTGAATATTTGCATCCGCGTTGTGTTCAAGTAACCATCTACAGAGGTTTTCATCGTTCTTAAAGACAAACCGATGCAGTAGTGTATATCCATCTTTATTTTGAATATTTACATCCACGTTGTGCTCAACTAAAAACCTAATGAGATTTTTGTCACCACCTACATCTGCGCTGTGTTCAGCCAACAACGTGAAGAGGTTTTCATGGCCCATTTTGATTGACAAGAGCAGTGGTGTTTCTCCATATCTATTTTGAATATTTACATCTGCGTTGCGTTCAAGGAATAATCTCACGAGGTTTTCTTTTCCGCTTATGACTGCTTTTTGCAGTGGTGTATGTCCATCCTTATCCTGGATATTTACATCTTTGTTGCGTTCAAGGAATAATATCACGAGGTTTTCTTTTCCGCTTATGACTGCTTTGTGCAGTGGTGTATGTCCATCCTTATCCTGGATATTTACATCTGCGTTGCGTTCAAGGAATAATCTCACGAGGATTTTGTTTCTGTTTATGGCTGCTTGGTGCAGTGGTGTATGTCCATCCTTATCCTGGATATTTACATCTGCGTTGCGTTCAAGGAATAATCTCACGAGGTTTTCTTTTCCGCTTATGACTGCTTTGAGCAGTGGTGTATGTCCATCCTTATCCTGGATATTTACACCCGCATTGTATGCAAGTAATAATCTGACCAGACTTTTGCGATTCTTTTTGACTGACAAGTGCAAAGGTGTGGAACCAGAACTGTTCTGAACGTTTACACCAGCCCCATGTCTTAAAAGCAAGCAAGCTGCCATATAGTTGTTACAATCAGCTGTTAAAATCAAAGGTGTTTCTTTTCTCCTTTTTCTTCGAACATTCACGTCGGCCCCAAGATCAGTGAGGGTCTCAATAAACTGACTTGAGGATGAACGACTCGCCTGCAGCAAAGCTGGCCAAACATTGTCTGACCCTGAGGCATTAATATCTACACCGTCCTTTAATACAAGTTCAACTGCTTGTTCCACATCATCATTGCATTTACTCCACTGCAGCTCAGCCAGTCTTCTGTTGTCCTTAGCACACTCTTCGTAAAGTTCTTTGATATAATGATTTAGTTCTTTTCTCTCCATAAGTGATACGATGTCAACTGCAGTTTTTCCTGGAAAGTTTTCGGCGTTATTTCCCGTTTTCGTAAGTTCCATCTCTTTTACAAAGTTGTCCAAAAGGCCAGCAGCTTTTGAAACAATGTCATATTTTCCCTTAAAGACAGCAGCCTGTAGCAGATTAAATCCAGACTGTTCATCCACTTGTAAGAAAGCTTTTCTCGAGAGGTTCCTTAGAGAAACCTATGATGGAAATGGTTACGTTTT